CTAAATGTTCCACCTAACTTGGCCTGTGCGATTTGGTGCTTGGCAGGTAACTTAAAGTGGATTTTGAGAGCTTTTCTCTCAGTAATTACAATGATGGTAATGAGAACGGTGAGAGTGAACCAAAACAGTAAAGTTGCGAACCCTAAAAGCAAAACGTTGTAAGCTGCTGAAATGTTCGGTAGAGCTGAGGGGAACTGAATCATCTGATAATTTTGTAACCGATAGTCAAACCTTTCATATTAGACGTCATCATTTGATCGACTGTTGACATAAGAATATTGATTATAGCAGCTTTAAACTTCTCATAGCTCATAAACATATGCGAACTGAATATGCTGGTTACAAGTGGAACATGCCTTATTATAAATGTCAAAACTCTCCCTACTCTCTCTCTAAACCAAGTGTGGATGCAGCTGATCACTGACTTGTGAGAGACTGGTTCATTCAGCTGTGCGTCATGCTCTTCCACTGAAAGTCATTTAATTCAGCTTTGGCTGAGGAGAGACTGCTGGCCTGGGTCATCAGGTTGTAAGGCTGGCACTGCTCAGACATCTGTTTTTATCGAGCAGATTCCTCTCCAGCTTAGTTATCATGGATGGTTTTCTGTTGGAAAGAGACAAGTTTAATATGTCTATATAATGACAGGATTACAACGATAAGCTCTTTACTCGCCGTTGACTTTTAACTTTCTTATTGGAGTTTGTCCCCTTAAGAGCACTCAGACTCCTCTTTTGACCTTTGATTCATCCTTCTTGCTGTCATCCTCATCTTCGTTCAGCCTCACTTGCTTTGAACACTAATCCATATGTCTCACCTTTAAACAGGTCGCTGCTTTACAATTCAAATGCTCTTACGTTTTGGTCCCTTTCACCTTGTGCAACCAAAGCTTTGGGTCCAGTCTCTTCAAGCTTCCACTGTAGTTCGGCATTATCGCTGTTTAGAGGTCAGCGAGGTTAAGACGAGCGGATCAGGATTGTCACGAAGATGCCTGGGCGGGTGCTTCAGAGTTGGCTGGACTTATTCTTTTCTATCATGAGAATCACCGCCGCCAGCACAGACAGTACACTTAATCCTGAACAAAAGCACACACATACAAACACCTGACATCCACTGAAGGCCCGGTGTGACTGAATGTGAAGCTTGTGGACAAAGTCTGGTGATGTGGAGTTAACGCCTCTATATTTGGTGTCTGGGTTTAAGCGTACTGAAGACACCAGGGAGCTCAGCAATGTAGAGCAGCCTTGTGTTTGAGAGGTTCTCCTAGTTCAGCACCAGCAGCAGTACGTGTGCACCACCCAGTGTTGGTGAGAAGAATCACATGTTGACTGACGAAGATACCAGAGCCACACAGACACAGTAGGAACTAAACCCTAAAACCTGGAGTTTAGACTAACAGACCTTTTCCACAGCAGCCATTTTGACATGAAACAGTAGGGTAAACACAGGTGTTACCAATGATACTAATTAAGGTGCCATTCCATTCAGGGTGCTGCTATTGAACATGTTGACTCAATGAAAAGATTCTGCCACACTAAATAGAACAGAACCTTAATTAGTATCTTTGGTAGCACTGTGTTTACCCTACTATTTAATATCAAAATGGCTGCTGTGAAAAAGGGTCTGTTGGAGACAAATAGGTTACTTTCAAGAATGGTAAAATAAAAGCTGCACCAATATATATTTTTACATAGACAGTGGGTGATGTGTAATGTGAAAAGGGGTCACTATGTTTTGGTTTTATGACCTGCACCTTCACTGTTTTGTTTCAGTCTCATCAGCTTTACTCACAGACACAGCAGGCAGTTCTTTCCAACAAGTAAAGCTCTGATAAACCCACTGTGCCCTTCCTCCCTACCACCAGAACAACAGACACAGTAGCAAACATAGTGGAGGATTTAGTGGTTAAAGAGACAGATATTTTCTTCCACCCAAAAATCTGTTTTTCTTTTTGTTCCTACAGTTGGATGTTTGATCTTCACTGTGCAGAATGATGTCTGTGCAGAGTTTGACACTGGGAGGATGTTTTCACATTCATCTGCTGAAAGTGGAAAGTTTCTCTGTGC